TCATATTAATTTTCTGATTTGCATAATTAGTTTTCAGCTAAGTAATTTCGAATTATATTTAATGTGTCTCCAATACTCTCAGCACATGGGAGTTCTTTCTAAGCTTTCTTTGATTCATGTTTAATATGGCTGACTTATTTCAGTTTTGTTTACTATTGAACTAAGTAGGACAGATGTATGTAGTAAAGGAAAACTACATACATCTGATAATGATGCAAGTCTGACAATATTCACTTGTGTCTGCTGACTTAAACCTGCTTATTTCAACAGTCTAAAAAACTGAAATAGTGAATGAAGTGAACTATGATATAACACAGTCACTGAATACAAATGTTTGATTTGTAAGCTTTGTGTACATTTCACTGGGCTCTCTAAGGTTGATAAACCAAAGTTTTGCTCTCATTGCTTGCATCAGTTCGAAACAATGTGCTTTTGGGGGAGGGGCACCTAAGACAAAGTAATACATCACAGTTACTGTCATAAAATGTTATTAGGACCCTTTTTATATCATTGCAGAAATTGTAAGAAATGACAAATTTAACAGTCTTAGTAAATTAAATGATGCGTATCTGTTCTGCATTCTGTAATACAGAGGGAATTTACATGCTATGCATTCGACAATGAAACATTTTATATGATTGAGATATCTGATTGTCATTTTCAGGATTGGTACAGAGATACTGAGCCTGAAGCTGATGGGGATGGATATTTCCTAACTCAACTACCAGTTATTTTATTTCAAATGATTGAACAGAATGTAAGTACAACAACATACACAATATTTATTTCTGTACCTTCTGCCTGCATGTGTTTTTCACATTGTAGCTGGCATTTTGTTATGTCATCATTTTCAAAAACATTTGGGCAGGATTAAAGGGACGCTATTATCAGCACTGCACATGCGTTTATTCTACTGTTGTGTTATTTTCGAACAAAGTTTGAAACAGGACATATAATTTGGTCTCCGTCCTTTCAAAGTCATAATTCAGAAGCTCTTCTCTGTGCCTAGTACTTTATCTGGGATATATGCACATGCATTGGTTCACTGATTCAATCCAAGATCGCTGACGGGAATTTATTTTGTTTTTGATAATGTGGTATCTTATGAGTGCTTTGTCAGTTATTGTTCAAATTTAGTACATACATTATACAGCACAAGTCTATGATGATTTCTTAGCTTTCTTTGATTTTGTTCTTCCAGTTACAAGTTGCCACCCATATAAGTGAACATTTAACTATTAATGTTCTTCTGCTCTGTATTGAGAACATTGGGTCCTTTGTCAAGATGTATCGAGGTAAGAACATTATGTGTGACTGTACTGGAGGTCTACAATACATTATCCTCCTCAACACAGACCTTGCAGAGACACAAAGTATGAGCACATGAGGTCTGTGTGATTGCATCAGGCGCCCCCCCCCCCCCCCCCCGAACACATTCTGAGGGCAGGCTTCTGGAGAGCGCAGAACGTCTTCATCAACTACTACCTAAGAGACACCTAATCTATTGATCAGGGTCTCTTCAGGTTAGGCCCCGTTGTAGCGGGTCAGGCTTTGATTACCGACCCAGCTCGAACGACCACAGGGGTCTCTGCGCATAGTCGATATGTAAGTCTCAGCATTCTTGCGGACAGATTGGCTGTACCACTAGCACTTCCTGGAAGCTCCCAGGTTTTGCTTTTTTTGACCTACGCCCTCATGCGAACTGTTTCGGTCCTTACTTCAAGTCTATTACCCTGAAATCGAGTTGGAGTCTAGCTTTCTCGGGCACACCGAACCCTGTCACCACAGCAGCATTGGCTTCTTGCTTCTGGGACAGCACAGGCAAGGTAAGACACCACCCTTCTTGGGTCTTAACTAAGGTATGGAGTTGATTATAGTTTGTTTTCATCCTGGACTTTTCATAATTTTTGTGTTTGCTCAGAAAACCCGCCACCTATCGGCATCTGACAGTTCAAAATAGTCATTTTGACTGACTGGAGTCTATGGTGGGTAATTGAACGTAGTGAATTTAGGCAGAGGGTTCTCCAAACCCTCCTATTCACATAGTTCATAATCTTGGGGTCATAGGGCTTCTCCTGACCTAGATTCTATCTCTCCGTCACCGGCAGAATCGCTGTTTAATGCCTACAGTTCAAAATAGTCATTTTGACTGGCCGGAGTCTATGGCGGGTATGAACTATGTGAGTAGGTGGGTTCGGAGAACCCTCTGCCTAAGTTTGAAGCTTGTGAACCAGCCTGTGATTGCCGCAAGACTTTTGTTTTGTACAGGGCTGGTGGTAATCCCCCCTTTAGAATGGGGAGTCGCCCTTGGACTCCCGCTCTCATCGGCGCTCTCCTCTCCCACTGCCGATGTGGAGACCTCCCCGCTGGGAAGGGAGCTCAAAGGGCAATGGAGGGGGCGATTGGTACAGGGAGAAAAGGACAAACAGCTTGAACCTGGTTTCGGAGCAGTCATGTCCCATGCCTTCCATTGTGTGAATCAATACCCCATTGGGGCTATGCGAACCGTTGATGGGTTCCCAATGTGGGATACTCATGTGGTACCACAGCCTTATCCATGGGTTCTTGATCCCCATCCCGGTACCTATACCTTTGTTGAGGCGAGTGGTGCGGATCGGAAAGGCCACAATGCATGGACATTTGACCGGCACCAGTGCCTACAAGTGCATCAGGCTTTATGGGCATTTTATAGAATGGGTTACTTTGGTGTTAGAGTGTCAGCTCACCTTGCTAAGTTTCTGATCGCCTGAGTGCTCAGCAACGAACCTTGAACATCGGGCAGATGGGCCAGTTCCTGGCTGTGCAGAGAGTCGATATGTGTGATATCATCATGTCCATACTGCCCTCTTGGCAGGAGCGGTTTCGGTTGAGCAGTTCTGAGTCTGTGCGCCTATCCTACTCCAGCGGGAGATGAGTTTGATCACCTGCGAAGAAGGCCTTGGGGGCATGACTGGCTATTTGGTGGCCGGTTAACGAATGTGGTGAACAGTTTGGTGGTTGCTGAAGATCAGCGTATCGAATTCAAGCAATCATCCCTGTTGGCCAAGGTGGCTAGTCCTTCTGGTCAACAGTTCAAATCAAAACCGCAAGGAGGCTCAGGCAGTAAGTCCTCCACTCAGGACTACAACCAGCGAGGATCAAAGCGCACATGGTCTCCTTCGAGGCAGGGGCAGAGGAAGACTAGTACCAAGATGCGTCAGAAAAAGCCCAAGAAACATGGCTTTGGTGGTGGGCGTTCTGACACTTCTTGGGGCCATGAAGTCTCTTTGAAGGTTTCGCCGGCTGCCTGGACGTGGATGGTGGTACAACTCTGGCTCCCCCCCCCCCCCCGAGTCCTTGGGCTCAGTCTCCCAGTCTCAGTCCTCCTGTACTGGATGCTGCAGTTCGATTGGCTGGTGTCGCTGGACTTGAGCGACGCTTACTTCCACATTCTCATTCACCACTCATGCAGCCGTTTATGAGTTAAATGTCTTTCCTTTTGGTCTGAGCATGGCACCGTACTTCTTCACCAGGGTGCTAAGACAGGTGACCCAGCTGCTACACCGGTGGTCGGTCTATCTGAACCCATATCTCGACGACTGGTTATTTCACAACCGAGACAGGGAGGTGTTAGTGGAGCATGTGCAATTGATGCAAACGTTCCTCCACGAGTTGGGCTTTTTAATAAATATAAATAAATATGAATATAGTCCAATCCAATACTGTCCCACAGCCTGGTTTTTCTGGGCACCAGTTTCACACGGAGCAAGTGCTTGTTCTCCCCTCTCAAGAGCGATGCGACTCTCTTGCAGAGCTCGCCAGCCAACTCCTGTTTACAGATACGTTGCTCCAGGGATCGATCTTCAGGTCCAAGGGACGTGGCCGCCCACATATTCGGGCCGCCACATCAATTGGTTGCAGTTGCAGACCGTCCTACTGTCTCTGTAACATTTTCAGGAAGTCGCACACCACCACAGAGTCCTGCTTTGGACGGACAACACCTCAGTAGTGTCGTACATCAACAAGGAGGAGGGGGACGCATTTCCCCATGTTGTCAAAGCTAGCCGAGGAGATTCTTCTTTGGTGCCTGGAAAACCAAGTGAAGCTATCAGCTCACCACTTTCCGGGGATACGCAACAGCGCTGCGGACGCCCTATCGAGACGTATTCAGTTCCAGAACACCGA